GACCTCATCTCTACAATAAAATAAAAAATTAGCTGGGCGTGGTAGCGTGTGCCTGTAGTTTCAGCTACTTGGAAGGCTGAAGTGGAGGGATAGCCGGCGCCCAGCAGGTCGAGGCTGCGGTGGCCGGGAATGGCCACTGCACTCCAGTCTGGGTGACAGAGTGAGACTCCAATTCAAAAAAAACAAACAAACAAACCAAAAAAAAAACTATATGATCTCATCTATGAATAACTGAAATTTCTTTCCTGATCAATTTGTAGAAGGCAAGAAAAAGACAGAAAAGTCAGTAGCTTGTATATAACATACTTCTTATAAAATCCTGTAATTAGCTTAAGGGAGGCATAAGAAACAGAATAACCATATTTAGAGCATGCCTCATATAGAATATTTTGGGGTTCAGTTTATATTTGGAAAATGCAATAAATGAAAATTTTATGGGTCTGGTCAACAATCTAGCCATAGAATGATTTTATACCTAAGGATTACTAAAACTTAAGTGACTACAAGTGAAAGCAGCAGGCAGTTCACACCATTTCAACATTAATTATCTGAGAAGAGACATTGGATTTTCTTCTTTATAGGGTTCATGTATTCCAATGTTTCATATGAACATGGATTTACTTATATAGTCACTAATTTATAAAAAAAAACCTAAGTTCTCCATGGTTTATTAATACTAAGCAAAGAGTAATAAATACTGAAACTAATGTGATTTAAGGTGTGAAACTTACTTAAACACATCTTCTACCATCTTCTTATGTCTAAATACAACTCAATCTTTGAGGCACAGCTCAAATGACTTAACTGATATAAAACATGTAAAAATAAACTTTCTATTCTGTCAAATTCCATAACATTCTATAATACATATCTCTTGCTGCACCTAACATTTATCACTGATATCAATTATTTATACAAAATTGGCCTTTTGTATCCATGGGTTCTCTACCTGTGGGTTCCCCACCTGTGGATTCAATCAACCACAGACTGAAATTATTTTTTTTTAAACTGCACCTTTACTGAACAAGTAGTGACTTTTTTTGTCTAGTTATTATTCCCTAAAACATACAGTATAACAACTATTTACATGACATTTACATTGTGTTAGGTGTTATGATTAATCTAGAGATGAATTAAAATATGCGGAGGGATGGTACGTAGATAATATGTAAATACTACTACAATTTATATCATAGACTTGAGCACCCATGGATTTTGGTGTCCAGAAAAGGTCCTGGAACCAATACCCCATGGATACTGAGGGACAGTTGTTATATATATCAGTTTAGAGAAAACAAAAAATTCCTTGAGTGGTAGATTTATGTCTCCATAACACCTGGTCCACATCAGGTACTCAAATGAAAGGAAACAAACTCCTGATAACAATGAAAAAAACAACACACTAATGTCAACTTCAGCCAACACTGAAGCTTGCCTAGGACAAGAGACTTAAAGAAGTCAGTACAAAAATGGCTCTAAAACAGATGTACCTCACCAAGATATGCTGATCATTCTCCCATAAGAAATCAGCAATGACATTTCCAAAAACTGGCACAGTTTATTCCAAACTGTCCAAAGTGCTTGCAAGTAAAGAAGAATGCTTATTGCTAGCTTTGGGCATTTTATCAAGGAGGCCCCTTCAGTAAAAATTGCATTGGATTTCTATTTGGAAAAACCTGACTCTTTTGTTTTCTTTCTTTTTTGAGTCAGAGTCCCACTCTTGTCACCCAAGCTAGAATGCAGTAGACAATCACAGCTCACTGCAGCCTTAACCTTCTGGGCTTACACAATCCTCCTGCCTCAACCTCCTGAGTACCTGGGACTACAGGCACACACCACCACGTTCAGTTAGATTTTTTACTTTTATTTTTGTAGAGATGAGGTCTCACTCTGTTACCTAGGCTGGACTTGAACTTCTGGGCTCAATCCATCCTCCTGCCTCGGCCTCCCAAAGTGCAGGGATCACAGGCCTGACCCAGCGCACTTGGCCAAAGCTGACCATTTCAATCCATGAGGAAAAACCTCCAAAGAGGACCAGGTATGACATAACTTTTGTATGAAGTATCTGATTTTACATACATTGAAAGTGTCTATGTACAACACTTCTTGAGTATTCACTTCCACAAATTTTACTATTCAATTTGTAGATATTTTTAAGACAGAGAATGGGATTAAAACCTAAATTTATAACAGTGAACATACAAAAACAAGGAATCTTTGGTACTATGAAGTATACATTTGGTCTTTTTTCAGACCTGACATACAGATTCTAAAACCCTTGAATCTCTAGAGTGATTAGTTTTTTGTATACTAATGAGATGGCTGGTGGCTGGTACACCCCTAGATAGCTTCAGGACAGGAGCTGGTTGCCAGGGAACCAAACATGTGATTACAGGTTGGAACTTTCAGTCCCACCAACGTACCTCCTCAGAGGGGTGGAAGGTTGAGCTAATCATCAATGGCAAATGATGTAACCTATCATGTCTAAGTAATACAGCCTCCATAAAAACGCCAATGGCCAGGGTTAGGAAGAGCTTCCAGACAGCCAAACACAAAGAGTTTCCTGGAGGGTGATGCACCCAGAGACAGCATGGAAGCTCCTTGCCACTTCATACATGTCTTGCCCTATGTATATCTTCTATCTGGTTGTTCATTTGTATACTGTGTAATATTCTTCACCATAAACCAATAAGCGTGTTTCCCAAAGTTCTGTGAGTCACTCTAGCAAATTAACCAAACCCAATGAGGGAGTCATAGGAACCCCAACCTACACAGTCAGATAAAACAACCTGGGGCTTACAATGGTTTCTGAAGTATGAAGCAGTCTTGTGGGCCTGAGCTCTGAAACTATGGGATCCGAGACAACCTCTAGGTAGATTGGGTCAGAATTGAATGGAATGAGAGGA